AAAAAAAAAAAAAAACTAGCCTCCACACTCGGTACCGCCATTATTCTTGAAAATGCACCGGAGGGCTGTCTCGTAGGCCGTGAAAATCGCCCCATTCACAATAAAAGCCCTGGCCACGGCCGTCCCCAAACCCCTCCACAGCACGCCTGGCCCCTCCTCTCTCACGCTCTTCCTAAAACAATCCACAATCCCATCATACTTACCAAACTCAGACTGCGCCTGAATCCTCGTCTTCACCACATCCAGCGGATAGCAGCAAATCCAGCTGGCAACCCCTGCAAGCCCGCCCGCCAGGAGCATCGTCCCGAAGCTCTCCTGTCCATTTTTACGGCAGCCCGGGTGGAACCTCTCCCTCATATACTCGTATGTCCAGAAGTAGACACCATGGGCCGGGCCATCCCTGAGGACCGTGATGGTCAGCCCACGGTATACACCTCTGAGGCCCTCTGCCCTGAATATGCTTCTTATCACGTCCACTGGGCCCCTGCAGGTTTTCTCTTGTTTTAGCTGCAGATGGATTTTTACGAGCTCGACGGGGCTGAGGAGGAGGCTCTGTATTGCGCCCGTGCCTATGCCGCCAAGGGCCACCCCTCTGTAGGAAGGAGGCTCGTTCGGGTTGCTGTTGGGGATTTGGTCCACTGCTCGGGAGAGTATGGCGTAGGTTTGAAAAGCGATTGCATTCTGTGGGATCACAGGAAATGTGGTTTAGTTTTGTTTCGAAAACGACGTTTGATCTTGTAAACTGAAAAAACAATTATTTTTTATGAAATGCTGAAATTCTTGTCCTAGTAAACATTACAGCCAGGCCAGCTACGTGAATTCGAATCGAAATTTATGAAATTTAGATAGTTCAATCAAAATAACAGTTTCTCAGCAAAACAAAACCACATAGTTCTTGATTTCCTCGAGGATGATAGTGAAAATTTGAGAGCATTAAATTAGGCTCCTATGTCCTTATGCTTGCACCAACTTGTCATGGGACCATTCATGTATAAGAAGGTGGTTTTGCAGCATTTGACATGTTAAAACACTGCTGTTGTATAATAATCAACGAATTTAACATCTTTTTTTCTATTAACAAATTACAATTCATCTCAAGACTTGTTCAAACAGAATATATCAAGATTTTATATTTGTAAAGAATAAATCAAGAAAACATTTTTT